CGGTTCAATGGTCTGAAGTAGAAGTGGAAAGCGTTTCCATTGAGTCAACCGCTGAGAAGATGAATAAAAACAAGTTATGTTTTGAATGCGAACTTCTGATGCATTTCATACAAAACGAAATATACGATTACCAGAACGAACAGGAGATCGAAGACTTCATTGAACACAAACTCTGCACTCGAATGCAAATTGTTATAACAAAGGAGGCGTGCGATACGTTTGTCCAACAATATGGGCCCCAAATTCTGAATCTCATCGCTCAGAATAACAGGAGATCGAAGACTTCATTGAACACAAACTCTGCACTCGAATGCAAATTGTTATAACAAAGGAGGCGTGCGATACGTTTGTCCAACAATATGGGCCCCAAATTCTGAATCTCATCGCTCAGAAGCTCTTTGATCCGACCACTGTATGTCAAAAGGAAATGCATATGTGTCCCAACACTACCACCGCTGTTCCCGTCGAGACTATTCAACCACAACAAGACTTTCAACTCACCCGACAGACCGAGAAGTGTGATCTATGTGTACAACTCGTACAACAGATGGACAATTTGCTTGAAAACCCAGACGTGGACAAAGAGATTGCAAAAGTAGTTGAGAAGGCCTGCCATCCCCTGTCCAGAGCTCGAAGGGTTGAGGTATTGTTTATGATTCAAATGTCTTGATTAGATTTAATGGCTATTTATTTTAAAGTGTGAACTAATGGTCGAGTCTTTTGCGCCATACTTTTTGCAAATGATTGGACGCATGAGTGACGCGAATCAGATCTGCAAAGTATGTCTAAATGCTATCTAAATGTTATTCAATTACCAATGATTACAATTTGTACGAAACAGACAATCGATATGTGCTATACTAGTGGAGGTGTGCACCTCTTGGGAGGACACAAATGCACATTTGGACCCACCTATTGGTGCCATACTATAGCTCACGCGGAGTCTTGTAAAGTGAGTTCAATTGAAATATTTGAAGACTTTGTTTTCTAAAATATTGATTCATTTCAAAGGCAACACATTTCTGTAAAAACAAAGTATGGAAAGCAATGCCGTGAATAACGACTACTTTTCTCCACAATTACTCAAAAAAGTCAATAATATTTTTGGTCACAAATGCATAACCAATATTTGATTACTATATATGCTGTATATTATATATGATTATTATCATAAATTTTTAATAGATATTTGTGTTACAGACTATTCTCTACGAAAGACAACTACTAATTAGTGATAATTTATTATATAGACTAATAAGTCATTAAAAATTAGTTTTTTACAAAAATTAATAAATAAACGTTTTTCATAATTTTGTCACATTATTGCTTTCAATT